AAGGTATCTACACCAGATAATTGGCTGAATACTACTTTTGTGGCTAATCTTTGATTTGTTTTTTCTTTTTTAAAGACAGCCTGAAATTAACACTGCTGTCTTGCTTGTAAGCCTATAATTTTAGGTATAATGTGTTGATGACTGGTGCTATTGCAGCAGAATTACCAAAAAAAAAAAGATAAAAATGTCTCCTACAATTCCTAGGAATGATGCAGATTTTCAGAAAATGGAGATATGTATCACAAAGACTTTACTAGGTTAAAAAGATCTGTATAGATCAAAATTTCTGTCTGTCACCTGGTGTCCTAGTTATTTTTTTTTCTAGCCTACAAGTCTAATGGGTTTTGCTATATAATTACTTTTTATTAATGATAATAATAATAGTAGGTAGTGTCTCTGGTGCCTGAAAGTTTCCAGCTGTGGGATTCCCTTCAGTGAGAAAATAAGATCTGTAAATAAAAATCTCATTTTCTGGCTCAAATTACAGACTAGATGTTAGTTTTACATGCCAGGTCATAGTTGTTTAACCCCAGCAGTAAAACCAGGCAGGAAACCTTTCCCTGATTTCAGCTTTGCTGCAAGGTGAGTTGTTTTACCAGTGTGATACTACTGCTTATTTTATTACTGCCAATTACAGCAGCTACTACATGAGCTGACCTTATGGAAGGGATTACACAAAATCCTCACTGAATCATAAAAGACTCGGGAACCATGGTCATATCAGACATAATCCCCATATGTGTCTTTTCTATAGATAATTATAGATGAAAAAAGACAGGAAGGTGCTTGCTGAAGCACCGAGCTGCCTACATTTGCTTTAAAGTAAATATTTACAGTACTTTATATTCGATGGGAGTTGTTTAAATAGAAAATTAGTTTACAAAGAAAATAGGTGTTTTTAGATGGAGACCCAGGATACATACCTGGAATGAAAATGGCCATCCTATATCAGAGGGGCACTGGCAGGTGGCATGGAAGGCAGGAGACAAGAGACTTATCATTTCCCTCCTGTTTTTAATGTGCTTTGGTGGTTTTTCTGTCTTCTTCCTCGTTTTCTTCTCAGTTCCTCCTCAGCTGATCATTAGCAAGAGTTGGCTCTACTGCTCTGCCAGATCTGTTGCTTCCTCTGTGAGCATCCAGCTGAGGCCAGAGTTGTGATCAGCCACTAGTTCCCTGCTCTCACTGAGGCAGCTTTAGACCATGCCAAAATAATAATAAAAAAAAAAAGTCTTGCCCATTACAATCAAAGCAAAATATTGGTCTTTTTAGCAGACAATGAAAAAAATGCCTAAGGACATCAGTAGGAGCAGGATTTAATTTCAAGAGTTAGGGAGAAGAGTTCATTAAAGCAGTGAATGTCTGCTTCTGGGGCATTGCTGTGCAGTGCTTAAAATGGACAGCTCAAGCCACAGCCTTGTCTTTTCCAAAGCCCCTCACAAGCCAAGCCTCTCTTCTGCTGCTGCTCTTTCTGTGGAAACTTGTGCACATCTTTGGTTTTTAAAAGGAACTGCATTTAAAATGTTTAGCCACATGAGTGGTTTTAGAAGATCCCAACTTCCTAGTGTAGGATAATTTAGGCTGATGATGTCCTACAAAGAGCTGAAACCATGGCAGAGGTCAGGTTAGGCTGATAGTAACTACATTTAAGTTTGAAATGCTCTCACTAAGTTGAATGTTAATTGAATGATAATTGAATTAAATTATTTCAGTCTGTGAAAACAGAGTCAAGCATAGCTTATAAACAGTTCAGAGTTTATAGTCACAAGATATTTTGTTGTGTGACTAGGTGACACATTTCATGCCACCTCTTGAGGGTAAACACTCTCCCTGTGTAGGTGATGAGAATGCAGAGCAGGCAGGCACCTGGCTGCCAGAAAGCATGTGCAGATGTCCTCCTACTGTCATAGTGTTTTCTTGTGAATCACATCATGGTCTCCCTGTGTCTCCATGGTCTTAGTTCCAGCTTCCAGGACAGAAGGATGAACATATATTGATCTCTACATCTTGCTTTCTGGTCAGAAATCAGGATTTTTGCAGTGCGTTGAGATGCATGGCTTCATTTGGGGTTGGCAATGACACCTCTGAAACTCTGTTGTGATGTGTACAGGGCAGAATGCAGTCCTGATTTCCTGTATACATTTCAACTGGAAGCAACATTTGGCATGAAAGCTAATGGGTTTGACAGCAGGAGAACTAGAACCCCAGTGAAAGCTAGATGGGTCCCACCCTTGACCAAAACTGCGGAGTTTTGCCTACTTTTATCCCTAGCATTTCCTGCAAGTTTCCCTGAATGCTGTCTTTCTTCCATCCTGTAAATGAGAAAGGTCCCATCTGGCTCTTTCTCATTTAAAGTCTATGTAAATCTGGGATACACAGCACATAGAGAATTGCAGGGCATAACCTGAAAGGGGATGAGAACCGCCCCAAACGGCCGTGCTTATCACACAGGGCACGCCAAGATCTGTGAGCGTCCACTCAGTGCCGGTATATTTGTACAGCCTCAGTAGATGGCACTAAAGATGACAGAACCCTGCACAGAACTGTGTCTAGGTAGCAGAAATAAGCGGTGAGGCTCTGTGAGGGGAGGGCAAGGTCATTTCTGTAAGTGTGCAGCTGCGTTCTCCACAAGCGAGCTGTGGCTTTGCATGTGCCAGGGAGCAGCAGCGTGCACATCAGCCAGGTCAGCAGGCAGCACAGAGCAGGCTTGGGAAGGAGGTGCTCCTTCCAGGATCATCTGCTCAGGCTGATGGACAGGTAGATGGGCTGCAGCTTTCTCTCTCACCATGGCCGCCTCTTGCCGTGGCTAAAGCATCCCGTGGGAGGAGCCTGGGGTGTCAGGAGGTGGTGGTGTGGAGTGAGGGATGGGAAATGCCCTCACTCTGCGTGCCTCTTCCTGGCTCTGGTACCTACACGAACAACTTTCTGAAAGGGCTTGCCAAGGCAAATCTGACACCCCCAATTCCTTACTTCTAATCTCCAGATGCATTGTTACAAATTTAAACTTGAAGATTTTAAACTCAGCTGCAGCTGTAAGGCAAAATTTGTGAATAATTGGATTATTAATAATACGTAAAATCTTTTCTCCTTATGTCCCCTCCTTCCTCTTCTCTCTCTTCTTTTTTTTTTTAATTTTTTTTTCATTCTAGATTCACTAATAGTTTATTAGTGATCCTTATCAGTCCAAGTGTGGGCAGAGGTGAGAGGACCTGTATGGGTAGTGAGCAGCAGGGCAGTGTTCAGAACCTTTCCCAGATTATTTTTTTTTTTTTTCAGATGATTTCTTGCATGTGCAGTTTGGTGCCCAGATTTGTAAAGCTGGACATATGAAAACCTTGTTTTATACTGCAGAAGCTGTTAGAAATTTTCTTCTTGAAAACATTCATGTATGTCCTATTCATCTTACTGGGTGATCAAAGTGCATGTGCTGAAGATGTGCTCTTCCATATTTGGATGATTGTAATAACCTAAATCTTTGAAGCACTTTTGAACTGGAGGCTACTACATGAGGCATTAGATCATCATGAGCCAGACTGCAGAGCTCTCACTATATCATTTCCATTGACACCTTGTTACTTGAGGCTACTATCAGTCATTGTTTGTGTGGGAGACAAGAGAGTGTGCTGTTGTAGGGAGCCACAGACACAACACAATGATACACTAGTCCAAAATAAAAGAATAATTATTTAAAGGTAAATTAATTTCACTTAGTAGTAGAGATACAAAACAATTCCAGACACAAAATTTGAGTCTTTCATGTCTGTAATACTCGCTAGATGAAAGGACCTGATCCTGCTAATCCCAGAACCAGGTATGTGAGGCTGTCTGCCAGGGTTGACTCCAATGGTTCCTTGGTATCAGTGGTGGTGCTCATCACTGGGGTCTACAGCTGCACAACATGCAGCACCCTGCTGCATTTGAGGGGCTTGGAAGACCTGTCTGTGGCAAACAAGGGAAACCTTCCATCATCAGGGACACATTAAGTTCAGAGGATAGCAGGTAGCAGTGCTTAGCAGTGCGGTAGTGGGAGACCTTCTTTGGAAAATGCTCTCAGTCTGCAAAACAGAATGAGAAGGCCAGGGTAGCTCAGTTTTTCTACTCTAAGGCAATTTTCCCCCTTTTATTCTGCCCAGATTTAGAGCCTGTTAGGAACCTCTCAAGTGGGAAAAGTGCAGATTCTCAAAACAGAAGCATAAGATTTTTTCTTGAGTATAAAATTTCCGTCAATAATGTGCTGCTGCCTTATTGACCTGAAAAGAATGCCTTTCATGTGATACAAACATTTACTTGCTCCTGCTCACTCTACTCACCTTGTACAGAAATGCTGATTACCATTGACTAATCAGTCCATTTTTGTATATCCTCATCGGACTCTTTCTTTGGCTGGAACAATATGCACTGTATGATGCTTGCATGTCTAACAATTTGTTACTAGCACTTTGTATATGCCTTTGTTACTTCACAACTAACAGTTCAGCCTCCAAGTGCATGCATTTGAGTGTAAATTAATGTGTTATAAAATAATAGATTTATTTGCTATGTTTGTATCAATATAGGAGATGTGTAAGACTGATAATTGCCACTTAGTCACTGGCAGAAGGCATTGTTCAGCTTGTATTTATACAATCACTGTTTCTATTTAGGCTCCATAATGCCATGTCTATCTTTTAGTTCTGCATTCATTCAACTGCAGATTTGGTTTGTTATTTTATAATGATTAATTACAGAACCATATAAAACAGATTAAGAAATAATTGTTGTTATGCAATACAATTCTAGTAAGAAGTAGGAAATTTTTTTCCAGTGTTCCTGAAAGCTACAAATACCTTTATTTATATTATTAAATTATTAGACTGCCGATAAAACAATTTTATCCCCCTGATATTGAGCTAATAATAAGCTATATACTTGGTTCTGAACCAAGCTTCAGAGTAATGGCAGTTGCTGTTGCAGTGCTAGGACCGAAAGACATAACATTTATTTTGTGTGTTTCAACATCTCAGGACACTGTCTCCTGCAAAGTCTCCATCTTCATCCACTGGATCTATTGCTTCCAGCAGAAAATACCCTTACCCAATGCCACCACTTCCTGATGAGGAGAAAAAAGCCAACAGGCAAAGTGCCAGGGTACGTCTCCCTCTTCTCTGTGCATTGCATCAGTGACTTGATTTACTTCACAGTGTTTGCAAAGGGAAGTGAGGTGATCAGTGTCTTAGACCAACAGTGAGAGCAGCAGTGGCGTTTCCTTCGTACCCTTAACTTCAGAAGGTGCAGAAGGATGAGCCTCCTCTGCCATCTATTAGGGATGCCTCAGTGGCTGTGTTTACAGCTAACTGTCCAGGTTGCTCTTAACCCTGCCCTAAAGCCCAGATTTCACTAATTTTCTTACTTCAAGCTGTGGGTGTGCCCAAAGCAGCCTTTGGGCTGTGGAGGTCAGACAGCCCTGGGGCAGGTGGTTGTCTTGCTCTCCTCCCTTACCTCTTCCAGGGGACTGATGCAGCTGGCAACTGATTTTTGGCCTGGGGGATAGCGGCTTTCCAGCTTTATGGGAAGGTAATGAAGTTCCAGTTAAGGAGGATGTGAAGGGCTTGCATCAAGCCCTTGCAGCCATGGAGGGATTTTGCTGCTGTGTGACCTGAGCCCACCCTGGCCCCCTCGGGATGAGCAGGAACCCTTGGAACATGGGGTGGATAGTGATGCTTCATGCGGAGAGATTTCTGGCTACTGCCAAAAGGCATTGCTAGGTATTGCTTCCTTTATGTCAATTCAGACACAGCAGATACCTGAATAAGCAAAAAAACCCTTTACTTGTGATAGCTTTAGTTCATGTTCTTGATGCAGATGAGATTCCCATGACTGTTCTCTGTCTTTTTTGTCAAGAAAAAAGGGGTGGAGTGCTGCTGAGGGAACCTTCGAGATGCTACCCTCAGTCCTGCTTGGGGCAGAAGGTTTGAGGTGCAGCACAGGGTCTCCCACTGAAGCTTGGAGGCAGTGCTGCATTGATGTGTCTTGGCCCTGGAGCTGCCTTGGCACCAGATCAAACCTAGAGCAGAAAGTTGTGCTGCTCTGGAGGTAGGCAGAAGAGAGTGGGAAATCATCTCTAGTATTAGTGTAACTGTACTGTAAGGGAGAAGCTGCCAAGGACGAATTTGATGCTGCACTGACATTTTTCCTTCAAACTCTCTGCACTTCCAGCCATGGAGATTTACTATGCTGATTGCAAGTCACACTAAAATGCTTGAGGCTGTCTGCTGACTGTGTGATCTAACAGATACTCACCAGAGGCTGGGAGAGACCGAGAGCATAGCTTTGGTGACCCAAGTGGTATAGATGCAGTTCCCCAAACAAGCTTCTCCCACTGTTTGGGTAACAACCTGCTTTTTCTTGGTGTTCTATCTGTGTTTGTGTTCCTTTTCCCCCTTTCTAGCTATGGGAGACGTCCATTTAGCTTCACTCTTTTCCTGGAGTGACATCGGAACTGTTTACTGTGGAGTTTAGAGGAACTCAGCATCACTGAGTCACTGCACATTCATCTGCTCTTCAGACAATTCAACAGATCAACAGAGAAGCCTGTGATCACAGTGAGAACCTCTTCTCATCTGGAAGGGAAAAAAGCAGTCTTTTTTTTTCTTTCTTTCTTTTTTTTGTTGACTAGTATTTTATGGATCTGATGAACAACCAAAATGATAGCAATTAATGGGGGATAATTAGTCCGGATGTGGCAAGGCTATTCCACATGATGGCAGACACGCTTGCCTAGAATCCCCACTGAAGTCTCTTTGCCAGGCCCAGGTAAGAGAGGTTTTCCTCTGGTTTATGGCAGTCCCATGCCAGACCAGAGCGGAACTGGGAACCTGCCTCCTGGAGAGCCCAGCCGACCTAAACTTGTACACTGTATGCATGAACCTTGTGTTCTTTACTTTACACGTGTAAGGGATAAACAACATACTGTAGTAGAAATTAGCATGCAGGAGTAAGAAATATAGGATTCTTTTGTGGCAGGATTTCAAGCTTTGAAAGACAACTACTTGGCACAAATGTCAAACAAACAAGATTATACCTTTTTTTTACCTTACATGTTTATAATCTCAGTATACAGATTGTATATATGTAAACATTTGATAACGTCAAAAATAGCTGTTATACATAAGTGTATTTTGCCAAATGCCTAAAGAAACAGTCATGACTAACATCATCACACTTCAAATTTTCTAATATTACAAGCAGACATCTTTGGAAATACAGAAAGTACAGTACTGTAAAACTGTGTCTCCCAGAAACTGGTGTTTGACCAAAATCTATACCAACTTTTCAGTATCTTATACTGTCTTGACAATCTCAATTGTATGGTAAACTGCAGAAACCAATACAGCAGCACTTTGTCTTAAAACTTTGTAATAGGAGCCAGCCAAGATCTGTTGTACAGTGAGATGACCAGTGTATCTTCTCACAGGTGTAATCAAGAATGATTTGGCAGACTACAGAGAGAGAGTCTTTAAGTAATATGCAGTCCAAACTTACTGGACATTTGGGAATCCTTCTAAGTAGTCAATTCAGGATGTGATAATGTGAAGTCCTGGTGAGAGCTGCTGTGTATTTTTGATGGAGCATTTCAGACACTGTTTTAGATGGCAAGGCGTAGCTTCAGAAGAGTGTAATGATTTCACTGCACTAGATAATAGGAGTGCTGGGCAACTGGCCAGTTTCATTGCTGTCTTTTAATTTGTATTTGTTACTGGAATCGCCTTTACCATGAACTTGAATGCTGTGCTTGCTGGCCCTGAAGCCCCCTTGACAATTTTTTTGGGCATTAAACTGAGTACAACTGAGTTCAGACTATAAAATGGGGTGAGAGGGAACAAACCCTTTACCATGGAGATGTTTATCTTGTGTATAAGTGGATGGTTAGATTTCTAACACCTGAGTCTTCTAAAGGTTGTTGTAAAACAAGTGGTTTTTGATGGGGAATTTTTAGTCAGTAAGAAACTGGACCATATTAAATCAGTTTAGAATTCTCCAGCTTTCCAAAATTGACTAATTCTTAGCTTCAGGTAGTTCCATTGCAGAATAAAACACCAAATTTTGTGTGGTGCAGTTGAATACCTTGCTCAACAGCTGTATTTTCAATTAGATATTATTGTAATAGGAACATCTATGGTGTTTCTGAATATTCTACCTCTTTCATGTATTTCCTTTACTAAGTGAACCCAACACTTGCAGCCTTTTAATATATTTTTTTAACTTTTAAGTCTCTCAATAAAGTCAGATATATGTAAGATTAAATTAAGAAATGTTTAAAAATGTCAGCAACTGTAAAGTATGTAAGATTTTTAGAAGCACTATATTTTATGATTAGGCTCTGTGTTGGATTATGACAAAATACTGGCCTTGGCGTTCACATGATTTTCTTTCACAGTCAACAGGTTCTGGTAAGTATTTTGGAGAAAGACAAATATGAGTGAGCACAAGTGGATGCAGACAGACCATGTGGAAAGAGCCAGTCACTTTAATTGCTTTAGGAAAAGGTTCTGCACTTTTGTGAAGGGTAAATATCTGTCAGCACTGAAGAATATTTTTTTGCAAAGATGTACTTGGAGTGTAGGTTACTGGATTAAAGATAGTTGGTAGCGTGTAGCTCATGAAATTAGGGTCTGAACCATAATCACCTGGAATTGGTATGTCTTTTATTGATTTCACTGGACTTTCA